ACTCAAAAGGAGCATGGAAATGTTTAGAAACCATGACTGATTATAAAAGAAAAGAAAATGCATTTGTAAACATTGATGATCCAAAACAAAAAGCTGATCAATCAAATGTTTTCTATTGCCGATTTGACAAACACGACTTTCATGATACTATCAAGGAGCAGGAAGTATTGCTCCGATCAATGAATGGCCAGCCGATCTCGATCGACGAGCAATAGGTACGAAGGCAGTTCAAAGCTGTGAACCCCCAAAAGGCTAACGGCCCAGATGGCATTAGAGGTCGAGTGATGAAAACGTGCGCCAGCCAACTGGCTACCCCGTATACGGCGCTTTTCCAGATGTCCGTTGACCAATGCAAAATCCCGGCATGCTTGAAATCATCCGTCATCACTCCAGTAGCCAAGAAACCCCGCCCTACAGAAGACAACGACTTTCGACCAATAGCGTTAACGTCGATTGTCATGAAATGCCTTGAGAGAATTGTCTTGAGAAATCTCATTGGACCGATTCGCTCTAGTATTGACCCCCTTCAATTTGCATATCAACCGCAGAGATGTGCGAATGATGCCGTTCTTTCTTTTGTGCACACGCTACAAGAACATTTGGACACACCGAGACGTTACGCAAGGGCATTGTTCGTTGACTTTTCATCAGCCTTCAACACGATACAACCGCACCGTCTTATAGAGAAGCTGTTGCATCTGAAAGTGAAACCGTCTCTTATTTTGTGGATAACGGACTTTCTCCTCACGAGAAGCCAGAGAGTGAGAGTAAACAACATTTTGTCCGAACCACTGCACACCAACACTGGATCACCCCAGGGCTGTGTACTTTCCCCGATTATTTTCATTCTATATACTAATGACTGTCTATCCCATTTTAACAATGTTCATACTTTCAAGTATGCAGACGATACTGCCATATTAGGGCTGATTAAATATGATGAAAAGGATTACAGAGACTGTGTAGATAACTTCAACTCATGGTGTGTGGAAAACTATCTAGAACTGAATGTGCAGAAAACCAAAGAGATCCTGTTTGATTTTAGAATCAAAGTAAAAAGCAAACCAAGTGACCACCCTGTAAGCATTAAAGGGCAAGATATTGAAATTGTTACTTCATACAAATATTTGGGTATAAACATTGATAATGAACTGGTCTGGAATGGGCATACAAAAGCCCTCGCAACAAAAGGGAGCCAGCGAATGCACTTTCTGCGAAAGCTGCGTTCATACCATGTTGATAGGACCATACTGTCACTTTTTTATCGGTCCGTAGTTGAAAGTATAATGACCTATGATTCTGTAGTGTGGTACAACAGTGCTAGAAAGAAAGACCAAGGAAAACTCAAAACCATTGTCAAACAAGCAGCCAAAATAATAGATAGACCAATGGACCTTGATGATGTTTGCAGAAACAGAGCAGTGGAAACGGCTGTCAAGTTGTCAAGGGATTCAAGTCACCCCCTGAATGGAAATTATGTCAGGTTAAGAAATGGTAAAAGGTGGCAATCAAAGAAATCCCGCACTTCGAGGTACCTGAACTCTTATGTCCCGTATTCTATCCGTCTGCTGAATGAAATATAAAATGTAAAAATGTATCACCCGTATCTTATTTTGTTCTATTTGATTGTAGGAAATGATCAAAATTTCATTTGTATTTATTCTAGGACAAGTATATTTAACTACTTACAATAGCCATCTTTTCTCAAATTAAATGAAAAAGTTTCTTTTTCTATTTATACTCACATGTCGTAATATATTGCATGTTTACTAATAATTATCTCATACTGCCTCCAATAGGTATTCATATCTCATACATACTGCATTGAGTGCACTCATATTTTAGGTTTTATTTATAGGGACAATAATTGTTGTGGATCTATCAGAATATCAGGATATATACATGGTTATTTTTACTTGTTTCCACCATATAGACATTATGATAAATCTGTTTTATTGTTAAACTGTTTGTGTTTTATATGTGCCTTGTTATATTTTGTTATCATAATGATATAATGAGTCAAACTAATGATTATAATAACAATTCAAACAATGATAATAATAATAATAATAATAATAATAGTATTAGTAATATTGATAATGATAATAGTAATAATAGTTACAATGTTATATTGTTCTGGTAATTACTCTGGATACATAAACAAATATTGAATATAATGTAAATTCAAAGAAAATATCTATATAATGTGAATGTTAAAGTGCTATATGTTCACTCTCTCTATATACTCGTTGTATGTTGTATGTATCATGTTACATGTACATTTTATTTATTCTTCTATGTGAACAATGCATGTAAACGAAACGAATTTCCTTTTGGACCAATAAATTTGAATTGAATTGAATTGACTCATCAATTCAATTTAATTCAACAATATTTTCAATATCTCACACTTCACTTTTCCTCTTTTCCTTTTCATTTCTTTCCTCTCTTTCCTTTTCTCCACTTTTCTTTCTTCTTCTTTCTTCTTCTTTCCTTCTTGTCTCTCTTCTAGCCTCTTCTATCTGGCATCAATTTTTTTTTTAACTGTACAGTGTATCTACCATCTATATGTACTGTACATGTACTAGCATACAGTTGTATTTTTACTTCTTGGCATGTATAGCAGTGTTTCATAAATTTAACAGTACTAAGCACAGGTGCAATATAAATAATGTCTATTTAATACAAAGCAATGTTTTGAATGAAATTGTATATGCATTATCTCACACTGAACTGTTCCTCTCTTCCACTCTCTCTCTCTCTTTCCCTTTCCCTTTCTCCCTTTCTCTCTCCCTTTCTCTCTCTCTCTCTCTCTCTCTCTCGTTCTCTCTCTTGTTTTGTCTTTCCTCTTTGCCATCCAGTATGATGTACTTTTAGTTTATGTCTGCTACCCAAAATAAACAGTTTTTATCTGGAATTTTTAACAAATGATGAATAATTAATTTTAGATCTTTGCTGTGACTTGTTCTATTTATATGTTATATGACATTGACTGTTGTCATGTACATTTTCTGCTATTTATATAAGTTAGAATTGTCTGTTGGGAGCAAGGGGAGTACACATAATCAAATAATTCCCCTGGCTCTCAACAGAGAGATTAAATTATATTAAATTGTTATGTTATTTATGGTATTTGTAGTTACTGTCTATGATATGTTAATGTATTGTTATATTTATACAAATGTGAGCTGTAAAACGATTTTTATGCCTTCATTTTATTGTGTGCATGACAATAAAGAAATTCATTCAAGCATTGAATTTTGATAACCTTGTTGAATCAAAGTTTCAACTTTGCAATAATGAAAATAAAGTTAGTTTTTAAAATCGATGAATATCTACTTTAAAGTTTCAATTATAAGGGAGATAAACCGCCTTTCCTCGATATTAATGCGAAGTACAGACTAATCTAGAGACCATGCATCTTCGCTGACATTCTGATATAATGAAATACAACTTTTGTAGAAGTAATCTTACCTCTTTTAATCAATATTTACTTTAAAATAGTAAACTACGATCAACTTCATGTTACAGATAGATACAATACATGGTAAAGATACAGTTTACTGCAGAGAGATAGTAGACACAAGATTTTTTACGAATGATTTAAAGGACAAGTCCACTCGAAAAATAACTTACTTTCAATAAAAGCAGAAAAATCAGACAAACCAATCAAAAAAAGTTTGAGCAAAATCGGATAACTTATAAGAAAGTTATGAATTTTTGAAAAAGTATGCAAAACTATGGAACAATGAGAATCACGACACAAATTGCCAAGATGGTTATCAGTTTGTGACGTCATGTCCTCACAACTTATCAATTGCTTTATATAGTTTAATCCCATTAATTTCCCTTTTTATCCCCCAAAACTTGATTTCCCCATGCCTTTGCCCAGGTAATATGATTTGTATCATATTGCGTGCATGACATTTCCCAAAAACTTTTATGAATTTTGAAGAATTGATACTATTTTCTGAATATTGTATTTCATAATTATTGATTTTTATATAAATAGTTTATCAAAATTCAATTTTTCATGATTTAACTGAACAAAAATTACTCTTTATTTGTGCATCCACACAAAAACATATTACTAACAATCTAACTTGGATACTGGTGTGAAGAAATAAGATTCTTAGGGTGAAAATAGGAAATTTATATCATCAATATAAAGAAAATAATTAGTGGATAGTGAGGACCATACGTCACAGACTCACGAGTGAGTTGCCAATTTGTGTAGTGATTTTAAAAGTTTTTCATGTCATTAAAAATTCATAACTTTCTTAGTAGTCATCCGATTTTGCTCAAACTTGTTTTGATTGGTTTGTCTGATTTTTCTGGTTCTATTGAAAGTAAGTTATTTTTGGAGTGGACTTGGGCTTTAAGGAGATTTTTATGTTACAAAGCCTTGTGTATTGCTTGTCCTTGTTGTCTTAAGCCTCGTTCACAAATGCCATTACGAACTGCTACGAAAGATTTTCAGACAATGGAAATTCGGGAAGACAATGGAAAAACAGGGAGATTCGTACAAAATTAACGTTCGTGCAAACCTTTGTGACAGCAGCATTACATCTCAAACACTTTGAACATGGTTGTAAAATTTATGTAGATATTGAAAGTTACTGGGATCATGGAAAGAGGAGGGATGGAGGGTAGGGTACCAGTCTAGCTCCAATGAAGAAATTAATTTGTAGGCTCAAACCCTTGTCAGTCGTAATCCAGTGCAATGCCATGCGATATAAATGTATATTTCAGGAATTACAGAGGCACAAACCTCCCTTCCCCCACCCCTTACCCCTCACATCCCCCAAATCTATTATAACCGCTTTCCATCTATGATACCTGTTTTTGTTTGTTTTGCTTTGTTATGATATATGTTTTCGTATCAAATGTTTGCATTGTTGCAGCATTACACCCTTATTTCTCATGTTTAGGACTTATGTATCGTTTGTATTTTTCTCTTTGATTGCAGGGTTTTTCTGTTACAGATAATGAAACAAAGATCTGGTGTCCCTGTGCTTTAATTGAATCCACTCTAATTCCTGACACGGTCCACCTGGGGTATCTTATCCAACCCACCCCACGACATTTCACTGGTATAAAAAGAATGAAAAATCTCACAATCTTTTTTTCAAGAATCCTAGATTCCATGCACCCTTCTCTTTAATTATTCAAACAGTTAGCTCGATAGGAGGTGGGATAATTCGAGTGATCAAGTGTTCTCCTAAGCGGGAGGTTCTGTGTTCGAAACCAACTTGATGCGCAAGTGCTCTTTGGTAAGGGAAACCTCCTCAATTACCCAGTACCTCAGATAATTTTGCTATAAACCGTTTTACCTTTTTCAAGTGTATTTACCCTTTTCTTTACATTCTGTTGTTATATTTTTCCTTTTTCAAAAAATACTTCTGACCTTTAAAAACAAATTTGTTAAAACATTTATAGGTTTTAACAATTCAATGCTCAGCCATTTATTGAGATGGGGAAATCATCAAGTCGGGCTAATGAATGCACAGACATTAAAAGAAAAGAGCTTCGTGTCATTGACAAAGACCACTATCCGGGACTATATACGGTCAGCAATTAATTGTCAAGCCTTTTATTGAAAGTCTGGAATCGACCACATACAGATATTGTATTAATATTGTGTCATTTTTGTATTTTAAATAGTATCGGTGGACTGGAGACAAACTCAAGCTTTTCGTCTTGCACTCAGTATAGATTAAACAGCAACCATAGACATAAAGCAAAATTTGCACATGGTTTCAAAACGTTTGGTTCATAGTTGACGCTTGTCGTTCATATTTTATGAGACAGGTATTTTCATGGCAACCGAAGGGAAACTCTAATTTCCTGTACATCTGTTGAAAATAATATTGGAAAGAATAATTCAATTCATTATTTTCAGTCTTAATCATCGCTTCCAGTAAAGGTGTAGATAGAACCTCATCACTCTATTCGATTCATAATTATATAGGTAGAGCAAATCGAATATAAAATCATTCAGCACTTACAGCTGAAGTTATGAAGTGAATACTTTTTCTTGATAAGTCCTGAAAATATTCTTGACGTCATTGGTCATTATTTTGGAATGCAATCACCTGCAATAAGTTTCTTCATTAACCATTCTGCAAAATGATGACAGTTGTTGGTGAAAAGATGATAAGCGCCGTGAATCGGTCCGAACTTCGCTGCCAGGTTCTCTACCTGGCTCAGCGTGCAGTTGCTTCCCCGCTGCAGACTCCAGATCGCCGGACACACGTGAGGGTCGCGGCCGATGTTCGCCGTGCTGTAGTCGTAGATGATGCTGGCGCCCCACTCGAAAGTCTTGCCCCGGAAGTAGACGAAGGAGTGATCGAATTTGTAAGGGTTGACCTTGCCTGTCGGTAGCTTCATGCTCTGTGCGATCTGATTGGTGTAGTCTGTAGGCAGGTTGAGCAGCGGATTTGCCGTGGGCTGTTCAACGGGTTTGTCAGGATTCTTGGGAAGACCGCAAGTGAAGTCGATGAATTCCATGGCTCCAAGCCAAACATCCGCCATGGGTTCTGTGCATAAGGTATAAGTGGATGAGTAGGCGGGGGCCGGGAAATAAGGGGAAGTAGAAAGGTAGAGTGGGGGCATGTAGAGGAAGATATGTAGACAGAGAGGGGGCACAGATTGGGGAAAAAATGGTTGAGAGTTGTAATTAGATACACTTTATGACTTTCATTGCACATATTATAACTTGGTGCACACACTAACATTTCGAACTCGCGCTTTTAAAGTCCCACTGTCCTACTTGTAGCTACTTGCTCCCTCTATATAGAAAACTTCCCCAATCGGTGCCTGTTGGTCCCCCATGATCCTCTTTTTCTTATGTTAGTTGAGATCTGAGTTACTGTGTGGTCTAATCCCTTCTGGCCCAGTAGTATTGACAGTCTTTAAAGGGATTGGGTAACTTTGTCTCGGATTCTGAAACAAAATCCTTGATTTAGTTTATGCTGCAATGATAATTATAAACATTTAGATCAGTCTGGAACCCCATGACTTTTACAAGCCGATCGCATGTCTGATTATCAATTTATTTATGATTGGAAATCGAAATCAAATTTTGTGTTTTCCTAACGGTTTTCATAACACTACAGTATCTTGGTGAAAACGAGTATGGTAAAAACCGGTCACTCAAAGAATTTTATTTTTTTGAGGCATTTTTTGATCATTTTGAAGGGCATTTTTTTTTAGGACTTCAATATTACACCATCTCACAGACACTGATGACACGTATAGGGCCGTGCATCTCAGATTTCATATTGTTAAACGATGCCTTGAATGTTAACTTTAGTTTGATCATTAATAGTTCTAATACTTACGGAGTATAACATAATTATCAAAATCTCAACTATTAAAAATGTAAAGTTTATGCACTGGGTATTTAACCACCTTTACAAAAGTGATAACAACTTTTTTATCATATACAAACCGGGAAGTGAGCTCATTCATTATCTTATAGTTTGACAAAAGTACAAAATAATCCGAATCACTTATTAGTGTATCGATGTGGCTTCTTTGCTGTAACCGGTTGACCTTTAGTAACTTCTTGTGGGTGTATTTCCTTGCACATTGAAGTTTTATCAACTGTCTAGAGTATTACTACATCGATAAAAGTGCGGGAGGGGAGAGCTGTTTACAGGAAGTGAAATTTCCGGAAACTCTGTTGCACAGAAACTGCAAACATTGCGGATTCAAATTTAAACAAGTAAGCCTAATTACAAGATTTCAACCCCCAGTGTAACGGAATATATCTATCAAAAGGATACAGCCTTATCAACGCCCTAGAACACTTACAACTAAGTTTAGATAAGAGAAACAAGTTTATGATATAATGACAAAATACAAATCAGTCAATACCATTATACAGTTTGATGTATATATATATATATATATATATATATATTGACAGCAATGCTTACCATTTAAGATCCCATGAAAGGGTTTATTCGGTTTTCTCGAACCTGTGCTGGAAGCAGTGCAGGCAGAACATAGGGTCACCGTCAGGGACAGACTGAGCACATTCAGCAATAATTTCCACCACATGATGAATTTGTGGTCAACAAAATCCACAGAGTTTGTTTTAATCCAAATACGATGTTTGAATCGAAATAATTAAACATGGGCAGCATGTATGGGTTTAATCTGCAGGGCAACGTCGTCCAACGGGCGATGAATGCAACCCCATTTGTCAGTACTCGGAGCAAAGGGTTTCTAGCACTTCTGTTTCAGTGCAACTTCGCTGTTCTTCAACTGATACACGTCACGTACATCGAATGGTATCACGTCAGGAAGTGACCTATTAAAAATGACAACCCATGCCTTTTTTTCCGATGAAAGTAGCTATTTGTGGCTCATGGTCGAAAGGGGGGAAATGTCATAATTATGACTAACCCCATCCCCGTTCAGACGATAACATAAAATAATCGCACGGTTTTTACAAAAGCGAAAAAACCTATTTTAGTCTAAACGTAGTGTAACGAAACATCATAACGCGAAACGCATATTTAGGCAGCATTTTGACCGAAAACTCGATAAGATTCAGGAATACAAACGTCTTATCGTACATAAATCGTAAAACGGGGAGGAGCTTATTGTGAACGCGCACTTATGGTTAGCCAGCTGTTATGTCAACTGACCTTTTTCAATAAACTATCTTTTAAAGACCGTCAATACTAATGAGCCAGAAGGGATTAGACCACACAGCAAGGTCACTGACAGGTGGCTATCTCATAAACTCAGCTCTCAACATAAGAAAAAGAAGATCATGGGGGACCAACATGCACCGATTGGGGAAGTTTTCTATATAGAGGGAGAAAGTAGCTACAAGTAGGACAGTGGGGCTTTAAACGACGTTTACATTTATGATGTTGTTTTATAATGTGTACGCCCCTTTCACCCTACGATGATTATTTATACGACGTCACTTTTAAATACACGAGTACGAGTTTCGTATAAATGTCCTCTTGTCTAAACAGGCTATTTGATTATTTGGGTCTCACGGCAACATGCACGCGGCCCCTTCCTCATTGAAGAGGTTCTAATTTTAAAAGGTAGCAGCATGATGCGTCACCCCTAAAGTCAAGGTTAAAACGCGAATGTCTCATACCCCGACAAAGTAATCACAATTGAATTTTCCATAACGACGATAATACTCATACATCTCATTTCTCATTTCAGCATTATCAAAGCGCCGTTTCTTAAAACCTTATATTTATGTTTTTCCCTTTGATTTACATAAAAGTATATAGAGAGCCTGTGAAAATGTTGATATAAATTGATGATTGGACTAGTCGTCTCCTGTGTTAAACGTTTAACGGTTGATAAGTTAAGATATCCCCTGGATGTTAACATTAGAGCATGATATGAGGGGGTGTTTCACAAATATCCTAAGTTGAACTCATCTCTAAGTTGGACGTAACAGTTTTGGAAAGCCGTTAGCATCTGTGAAATATTTTGTAAAAGTGATAAAAGGCATACAAATGTTGATTCAAATCATTCATATTTTCTATTATCAAGGAAATTTCATGTTCTTGACGTGGAATTTATGAAAAATCTAACATACTTAGATTTTAGCTTTTAAATATTTATTTTTAGGGCTACAAATGGCTCTCCATAATGTTTAAGTCCAACTTAGAGTTGAGTTTGACTTATGATCTTTGTGAAACACCCCCCCCCCCAGATCCGTTATTCACATTCTGTAACGGTTAACTCCATAATATAGCCAAGCTTGTTTCAATTCAATTCCTTAAAGGTACTGTGTTTATGTTGCAGCAACATCAAATTTATGTAGAACTTTGCAGGAATTACGAATATGTCACTTATGTCCTATATGTGAAATTTAAGCATAAGACGTGTCCTAGTATTTAAATTATGCAAGGAAACCTGTTTACCCTCTAGGCTTCACTGGCAGATACTATTAAGTAACAGACTGACATCTTTTTTTCTTTGGTAATATCATACATAAAATGAGCTGTAACAGATACATAAGCAATGTTGTCTACATCAATAACCCTTTACGTGTAATGGCTGAAATTAAACTGATTGAATCTATGTGCAGCAAAAAATCAGACTATTACTTAGGTGATTGCAATCACTTAAGTCGATTCGACAGCTGATGGTTTTTATTTTCCCACTAAAGCCATTTTCGAGCCTTTTCGTTTAGAGGGAAGATCTAAATTGTTAATGTCTTTCAAATGCCGTTGGAATATAACCTTTTCATTTTTTGTTGGCATGCAAATGGGACATAGTTCCGTTAATAGAGGGTGCGTCACGAATACAAATTCATTTTTAAAAGGAATATCCTCCAGGCAAAGATATTCTAAAATCAAATAGTCTTTTTCTGATATATTCAAGGTTGGTCTATTCTATTGAAATACATAAGAGGAATCCAAAAATAACTTAAAACTTAAAGAGGACCTCTTTGATGTGCATATAAATTGATATGCGCAGAGAAGTGTTTTTTTAAATAATTTGTATTATAGGTCAAAGTGAATATCACGCCTCAATGTCATTTTATTTTACCTAAACTGAAATAACCTTGGAATGATTATATGCTGATTATCTGCAATCTTGTTTTATTTTTTATTTTTTATCACAGCTCATAAAACCAAGCAATTCATACAAAAACATAAATGATTTGTGACTAATACCAGTACCCACACGGTTATCATAACTTGCACCAGCAGTTGAAAAAAAAACTTTAAGTATGCACGGCTCTTTATCTTGCCATGAATACAGAGGAAGAATATTTTTTAGAAAGAGAAAATTATGTAGCCTTGGAAGAATGCTTTCTTGATTTCCTTACATATTTATTATTCTTGTAACAACATTTTGAAGTGCAGAGTACCTACAAAATGCAATGAACTTTATCTGAAAAAGAGGAAATTTGTAATGTGCAGATCCAGGTCATGTTTCAATATTTCCATCTTCTTATTACTGATAATGAGAACCAGTCGGAACTCATTGGCATATTGCAAACAGCTCTTGACTCTCATATGAGAAGTTATTACATGGTTCTTTCACCCTCAGACGTATGGAAATCTTTGTTTATATCCTCCATTTTAAACATATACTGTATACTGAGGTCTTATAATGGACCTTAAATGCATAAATCTTGAAAGCTTTTATTTAAGAATATAGAACGCATAAGCAAAAGCGGTAATCCTTTTCGGTTAATTAAATTAATCTTGAGTACTAATCATATATATAATTATGCCAACCTTCAATTAGTCTCTGAGTAGATTGTGCATATTAAAATCAAGAAATACATATGTCAGAGTATATAATATATGAATATACCCATACAGTCAACAACTCTAGCATTCGTACCCTTACAAAGTTTTGTATTTTGTTAAGTATGTGAAAGATTGATTCGTCGCGGTTTGTGTTTCGTGAGAATGTGACATATCAAAGCTTACATCTGAAAGCATTCGACAAAGACTGTCATTCAACCAATCCACCTTTCATTCGTCAGTTACATGTAAGAAAAAAGGGGGAAGGGACCCGTCAAATTTGCAAGGGGTTTGAATAAGTTGTCAATTGTATGACAGAAGTTTAAACAGCAATATGAACTTTGATTTAAGCTACTCAACCATTTTGCTCTCATTTCCTTCCACATTGTATATATATATATATATATATATATATATAATTATAAAGATAGATAGATACAAATATAGATATGTGTGTATCGGTCAAACCCAATGATTTAGCTTTTAGATGTAATGTTAAATACCAGTGAAATATTATGAAATAACATTGAATCATGAATATGCATTTAAATTACAAATCATTATGATTACTTTTAAACAAAGAATCAAGATGTTTCTAATGGTTACAGTATGAGCTAAATAGAAGGAATACAAAGTATGCCTTACCTATGGCGGTTATGCTTTGTGATTGAATGTGTACATTCTTACCGAAGGTCCATGTTTTCTCACCATTTCAAAAAGCATTTGTACATGTACAGCTGCTGTATAAACAAGTTTCATCATAAAGTATACCACCTATATTTCATTTTCTTTCGTTTACAATCTTTAACGACAAGACGTATCTACAGTAACTGGGAAACGAAGTATGAAGTACTACCTTTTTAAAATAAGCTTTCATAATCTTTTACAATCTTTAACGAAAGGACGTTTCTAGAGAAAATCATGAATATATGTTCTTTTGAACGCATTTATACTGAGCTCTCATGCAACCTGTAATAAAAAAAAACTCAAGATATATATTTTTTAATATAAGAGAACGCACAAGCAAACATGGTATTAAAAAAAAACGCGCACCATCATTTAGATTAAATTAAAATAATCTAGAGTAATAATCACACATGCTCCAAATTCAATAATTCTCTGCGAGAATTGCGGAATTGCAGAATTACGTACAAAGTAAATGAAACAATTGTAAACAATCATTTAACATGACTTGTTCAAATTGAACATTAAAAAAATTCAATAAATCAGAGATATAATGCATTAAACTGAAGTTAAATCTTGCAGGTTCAGATAAATAAACATAAAAAGTGAATTACAAAGCAAATTAAAAATAAATGGAACGATTAACATGATCAAAGAATTACGTTCTTGTTCAAAAATTATATCTATTTTTAGAAGAGAGAAAGATAAGTAAAAGACAGAAAAAGGAAGTAAACATGAAAAGCAGACGGGTAGAAAGGTAGAAAGAGTGGATAAGAGTAGAGATATGGACAGGGGAGAGGTAAAGGGAGGACAGAAGAGCAATAGTAGATTTATTACAAGATTTTGTTTTAATTCTTAGATCTGAATATTTTCGTAAACATCTTCATCGTCGGCATGTCGTGGCGTGTCGTATACTTCATCCTGATCCCATGATCCCTCTGGTAGCTTTGCAGGGACAACGTTAAGTTGCAAGCATTCTTCCTCACGGGGTTGTGATCCGTTGTAACAGTTCTGATCGCCTGTTCGAGGGTACCTTTCTTGCTGCTGACTACGAGCCTCATTTGCTGATCTCCTGTAGATGTAGAGACCCAATTACACATGACAGATAAAAAGACCATATTTTCTCATGAGATCTAACAGGGACGGCAGGATGAGAGTGGAAAAAGAAAAAAGGTTTTTTCTCTGGCTACCCTGTATTTTTACGTTAAAAAGTTAATGGCATTAACATTGTCAGAGAAACTGTCTGGAAGCAGTTGTAAAAGGTTGATTATAATATATGATGATATTATGATAAGAAATTTGGCCCGTATGCAATAAACTTATGAAACATGACATTTAAGCATTTGTTCTTATCTTGTTGCTAAGAGAAAGTTCTTAGCCACAATATATATTTCTATAAAAGCATTGGGAGCTAGAATTTTGCTCTCAGAGTATTAAGTAGACATTCTTAGATGTTATCTAGAAAAAGTGCTCAAAAAGCTTGTCGTGTCCCAATTTGATATCGAAAAAAAATTGCCGGGAAACCGACTACTAATTGATATATTTGGTAAATTAGTTTATCTGTTATGTGAGAGATAAACGCACGTGTCGCGCACGTGTGCGTAGTCCAATTTGCATCTTTCTATGAACAGTGCTTGCAACTTTACGAAGACTGGGCCAAATTTCTTATCATTTTGATGATTCCAGAACCTTGCAGTACATACCAATACTTATATGCTAGATGATCGACCTTTTCTGATCGATTTCACAATGTTTCTTTCACAATGAAATCGCATGACCAGAACAATAGAACAAAAAAAAGATTTGCTGGAAATCAACTTCAAGAAACACAACTCTCATTTGTGCATAGTGACCTGTGTTATGGTGTCGGGCCCACTTGCAGTACTTAATTTCATTATCTCTCTATGCTCAATACTGTAATAGCCCCTATACATTTTCTCTACAAGGATCGTTTGGCTCCTGTCATTTATTCGTTACTTTGAACCTTCAGTGTAAGTTTTGTTGGATTCTGTAAACAATTATTTTTCATTTTCATTTATTATTATTACCAGAATTAAAGCTTATCTTTAAGAAGAATGTCTTAGAAGATTATTGAATACTGGCCCAAACTTTTAAGGCGTTTCTCGTTTTGTTTCTAAAATGAGACTTAAGAGTAATTGAAAGGTAATCCCTTTCCGGTGACATAACTATGGTATTTTTCCAACCTGACATTTTAAAAGATGAGCAAAGCTCACACATCAATTGTTACCATTACCAGATCTCAACCTTCTCTTTCAGTCTACAAATTAAAAGCTAAATTATATCTCAATGTAACGTGCTTTGCTTTGAGGCATACCTGTACTTCATCATGAATACTGTCATGATGATACAAGCCAAAATGAAACCAATAACTGCAACGGAGAGGAATCCAATCAAACCTAGGTGAGGAATATGAATGGCATTGTTTAAATTTAAAAAAAACAGTCGCAAAACATCAATTCAAAGAGCCTAACAATGTGTACCACATAAAGTAAGGTTCGTGACTAAGGTTTGAATAGGAATGTTTGGGAATCGTACGCACCCCCAATTCATATAGACCTGCAATAATATGAACAACGTACATGTTTGTATTCATGTATTCGGCTCTTTAAATAACAATTACAACTTTACAAAAATTACAACTGACTGGTTACGAAGACTAGAATTATAATAGATCATAAATAATTGAATACAACTAAAACAGACTGTAACTATAAAAGTCGAACTTCTAACTCATTTTCTTCATATAAAAACAATCTAGCACTGTCTGAAATGTCTAAAAAATCAATGTGTGCCAATTAACTACAAAAAATGCTTTATTGGAATTCTTTCCTCTTTTTTCCTCTGCATTTTTTTTTTTACTTAACTAGTTTATGCAAATAAACACCAAAGTAATCGAAAGAATAACTCGGTTTTAAATACAAGCTTCTATTAAAAAAATAACAAAATTAGAGCTCACTGTCGAAATAAAGCGGCAAAACGGCAACTCTGTCACGCGTTTTTGATGTTATTCCCTTAGTATTGAACAACATCTCTTATATTCATAACCTTTTATATTCATATATTTTATATCTCGAAAGTTCCGAATATCCCTTGTCAAGTGAACATTCACTGGTTCTGTCACTAACCAGGATGAATCATACACTGGACACGATGGGAGAAATTGTCTTGATATCACTCGAGGAGAACTCTAATACCGCGTTATATTTTGAATAGAAATCATAATCAGATTAAGGAATACGTGATTGTCATGCATGCACACCCATTAATAACATGTAACGCACAAGGTCATTGAAATTGATAGTAGGTTAATGTAATAACTCGTCACTAGGTCCTCACGAAGGTAACATCCCTAATATGAATATTGTGGTAAACCGGTCTTTTGTCGTGGGGTAATTTATCGAAAGTATTCGCGATCTTGTTACTGGTGAATAACGTAATATATTACTCTGTCCAAGACCAAATGGGAACCAACGGGAAAATATTTCACTTATATATACAAAGTAGAAGTTTACTAGTGACTTGCAACTAAACTTACCATGTATGGCAGCCTGGGATTGACCAGTTTTACTGCCTTCCTGGTCCACTTCTGTTAAATCAAATAATGGATATACAATAGGCATGACTGATTAGGTCTATATAAGTTCCATGCATAAAATGAATTACGTATCGGGACAATTCCCTAGGAAATCATCCCTCGGAAAAATTATCCTCTAAAGACAATAACCCCCGGAAAATAACCCCCAAGGACAACCACCCTGATGATAACTAGCCCCCGGCAAATAAGCCCCTTGGGCGATTACCCCCCAGAGGACAATTACCCTCCCCCTCAGAATTACCCCCTAAGACAATTAATAAGCCCCCAAGGACCACTCCCAATAACAAATGCACCCTTCTTTCATTTCTTTCATTGCCAGATACTTTCTGAAAAAGGCGTAAAACGACTTCCATTGTTGAATAGGACCAATATTCTTTCTGATTATTATTTGCAATGCATGATTTTGTTTGGCGTTTGCATGATTAAACAAGAAGAAATATATCAATTCTCCGGAAGTATATTGCAGGTAGTTCTTAAAAGGACTGATGTGGACTGAAAGAAGAGCCATAACGTTTCGAACACCATCCTCTTTGGGAGCATTGAGGTTTTTCTTTCCTTTCAGAAGTCATTTCAGAACTTTAGTCGAAAGATCTATACCAAAAAAAAGAAATACGTACACGGTATTTCCATAAACTTTTAAAAGCCTTAAATTATATTAACAACTATTATACAGAAATGCCTTGGAGAAGTCCTTGGAATAAAGAAAACTGATTTAACTCCCTCGAAAATTCAGCTACAATAATTGGGGTTCTGTTTTGTGTTTTGTTAAAACAACCATTACCAAATTCGATGCATGAGACACCAACATCCTCCGAGTGATCACAGTTATGGATTTCGTATCCACTCCTTTGACAATGGCCTATGTTTGGTTCTGTACCCTCGCATTCCACTTCATCCAGGACAATAGGTCCAGAACCTAGTCCAAAGGCAGCGCAACAAGAGAAGTTCTCCGCTCGTTCGTAGCCGAGCATTCTGCAAACTACGTTGGCGTCTTTTATATCCCAGTTGTCATCACACACTGTCCCCCAAGTACCAAGGTATAGAATCTCAACACGGCCTTCTTTGTCAGATCTTCCACTGACCAATCGAACCTGGAGATCATCTGAAATCAAGTGACAACAATACGAAGTCGCCCACGTAAGAGGGACTGGTGACGCTCAGTAATACTGCTAATATCAATATTTCTTTCATGAAGAAACTATAAAAAGGCATGTTCTAAGAACTATTAACTCCTTGCCAGATTTTCTTCCAGAAAGAACAGTTCTATAAACATAATTTATTTTTCCACTTATTTGTTATATTTCCTGAGAAGATGAACCGTTCTGTTGTCAAACAAGACAAATGCGACTGCGTCTCCTGTATGCATCCGCATGATGGATACAATTTATTGTGACATGTCACGATGAAAAAAAAAAGAAGCATATAACTGTAATCGAATCGTCTTCTGATAGTACATTAACACTGTCACCATGTTTAAAGCTTATAACTCGAAAAGTTCTTGACATGACCTTTGACCTTTGATCTATTTACTCCAAAATCTAACCAGATTGTCTTCCTATGGTGAATCATACAATTGTTAACGCGTCGATCCAGCCATTAAAGGGATCCGGTAACTTTGTTTCAGATTCTGAAGAAAAACTGGATTTAGCTCATGCTGCAATGATAATTATAAACCTTTAGGTCAGTCAGTAACCCCATGACTTTTACAAGCCGATCGCCTGTCTCATTATCAAGATATTTATGATTGGAATTACAAATTTTGAAAACCGTTTGTCAAACGGTTATCATAACACTACAGTCTATTGGGGGAAAAAAAGTATGGTAAAAACGGTCAATCAAAGATTTTTACTTTTTTAAGGCACTTCTTGATCATTTTAAAGCGCAATTTGTTAGGCCTTCAATATTACACCATATCACAGACGATGATAACACGTAGGGCCGCGCAACTCAGATTTAACATTGTTAAACGATGCCTTGAGAGGACAAGGGATGGGCTGGCCATCGGTCACCGGTGGATGGAACGCCGAGGGAACGGGTTGTAGACGTAGAGTATAGGGGAATGGGTTTTATCAGGCCTTTCTTCGCTATTTCTTCGTTTTTGTTTATGTTGCTTTCCCTACTCGACTGTTCCCTGCTCCACTCTCGTGCATGTTTACCCTTTATCGCCATTCTACATGGAAAGGCGGCACATGCCCCTTGCCCCTATATAGCTAGGCCACTGATACCAAGTAGGATACCATGTAACGTACCGTATGGGACATACAAATTCTTGACAAATTCTTGACTTTTAAATATGGTTTAATGCTTACCCACTTTTAAGCACGAAACTCCGAAATCGGATGTATGTCTACAATCAGTGTTACCCAGATTATACCATGGATCACACTCAACAAGACTCGATTCTTTTCCAGAGCATCTTGGCTGACGTAGTATAACATCCCCTGTTCCATTTCCGTATGATAACTCGGCTGAATGTGCTATAGCCCCGATGAATCCTAACATTCGGCAGACCACTTCCGAGTCATATGAGGTCCAGTCATAGCTGCAGACTGTACCCCATGATCCGAAGTAGAACAACTCAACACGACCTTCGCTCTCATCCGGACCGCCTACGAGGCGAACCTTGAGTTCAACTACAAGCGGAAATTATAAAATGAAGTTACATTTTTATCTAAATAGACTTCTTTAATAATTTCTAAAAAGTAGAAACAATAAAACAAAACAAAGCAGTGTTTCAGACATGGATAATTAGAATTTAGATAATAATTTGGCCGATTTATTTTAAAAAGATAGCTTATCGTACGCCCAACTGAATTGGGTGTGCAGAATTTAAAGGAAAGGTCTTTTAAATCGTTCCCCAGATAGCAAAATATCTGGGGCCCCTCTGGATTTGGATGAGCTGATTAGAGCCCACGTGGCCCATACAAAAACCAGATTTATACCAGATGGGCCCTCTCACCAAGAACCCACAAGTACCAATGGGCCCCATGTGGGTCATAGGTAGGTTTTTGGTGGTGAAAATCGCACGTCGAGCATCGGCTAGGCCCAGCTAAAAACCAGGTGTATACCAGAAGGGCCTTCCCACACAGAACCCACACGTACCAACACATATGGGCCCATTGGGCCCCGTGAGGGTTTTTGGTGGTGAAAATCGCACGTCAAGCATCGTCTGGGCCCAGATAAAAAAAAAAACCCGGCTAGATGGGCCTTCCCGACGAGAACAAACAGTATATGGAGCCCATGCGGCTCATATAAAAACCAGATGTATACCAGATGGGCCTTCCCACCCAGAACCCACAAGTACCAACACATGTGGGCCCCATGTGGGCCCCACGTGGGTATTTTGAGGTGAAATCGCACGTCGAGCATCGGCCTTCCAACTCAAAACCCACAAATATACCAACAATTTGCATAATGAATATGGGCGAGTGCACATGCATGTTTTTATACAATTTATCTGAACTTACAGGATATTTCTTAATTACTGAAGATTTAGTTATATGCAATTCATTTCGAAAATACTTCAAAATGTAAACTGCTAATTATTAGGACATTTCACTACTGTGTATAAATTACATTAAATTAGACATGAATTAGGAAAAACACTAACTATTAAAAAACAAAATCAATAAAATACAAAAAAAAGTCTTATTTACAGCAAATTAACAAAATCTTCTTAATACCAATGCCTATACATTGGAATTGGGATTTGCAGACGATGTGTTATTGCAAAATTTATTAGTGCAAGTGCTATTTATACCACAACTTACTAATTCAGTTTTTTAAGGGGAGTTTTCAACTGGTAGAAATATGTGCCAAATGGTACAACTGGTCCAGGTAGACCAGTTAAATCCAACTGGTAACCCTGGTAATAGAAATGGGATAACTGGTCCAGTTGTACTTGACCAATTAAATGCTATAATATATATAATATAAAATAGAACCCATTTAAACAATATAAAGCCCACTTAGAACCACATTGGCCCATATGGGGCCATATATAACCCATTTGAACCACATGCAGCCCATTTAGAACCCTCGTGGCCCATATGGGCCCAATATAAAACCCTTTTGGCCCATATGTAGCCCATATAGAAACCTGGGGTTTTTGTGGTAAATCCCATCTGGGGCCCATCTGAGGCCCATATATAACCCTGGTGAAGATTGCTGGGCCCATTATGGGGCCATCTAGGGCCCATATACCATCCCAGTTAAAATTAGATACAACCCAGATGGGCCCCACAAAATGTTGCTATCTGGGTCATGCAGTCAGGCGACGCTGGTATTAGGTCAACAAAGGTGTCTTCTTTGATTCTAGTTATATGCATGTACTGTGCAGTCTCTGTATATGGGCCTGAGCACCTCCTTCTATGGTTAGGGCATTTTTTAATAATAACCTAGCTGTTCTACGATTAAAGAATTTGTTTCGACATGGATGTTTATAGTATAATTGGTGCAGCTGCCTTCTTTGGACAAGTGTTATAAGCATGTAACTCTTTAAAACTATATTATCGGAGGTTTGCGAAATGAAGTGAAGCTGCACATTTTCATAATTTATAAAAGGATTTGAATATTCGCAAATAACTTTGCGACTGCCCATGTACGAGTAGGTCCTATGCATATGTGAGGATCTTCAACGGAGATGCATGAAGCACTAGACCTTATCCGCCACTGAGGGAAAAGAGTAACATGCAAAATAAGACATGCTATGATGAAATACAGAAATAATTGCATGTTAACATTACCCTTCAAAGTATAAAATAATACATTACGTGCTTTAAAGTGCAATAACATGATTCATAGGCATATTTGTTTCAGAAGACTGTATTACTGGGGAGATTCGGAATGCACGTCTGTAAATAAATTAATCCCAATATTTGTTTTTATTGATAGTAACATTTTCAGAAATTGTATTCGTCTCTTAAATTTACCTTCTCCGCTGCATATAACACCAACGTCTTCAGAATGCGGGCAGTTATGGATCTCATAACCGCCATTATTGCAATGTGCAATGTGCGTTTCTGATCCGTCACATTCGACGTTGCCCAGGGTGGTATTACCAGTGCCTTCCCCGAAGCGCACTAATGCAGAAGAGACTCCAGGATAACCTAGCATTCGACAAACAACGGTAGCGTCTTTGATATCCCACGAGTCATCACATATTGTACACCATGATCCTTGGTAGTTCACCTCGACTCGCCCTTCATTTGATGAAGCCCCGTCAACAAGCCGCACACGTACTGATACAAAGGAAATAATGTTGTACAGGGTCAGTCAGAAAAAAATGTCCCACTTTTTAAAAGTTGTATTTTTTTTAGTATGAATATTTAATTATGAATTTCATGATATGTCTAGATAGAGTTATCCTCCCAGTACATTTAGGTACCATTTTCATTTGAATCCCTTCATGCATGACGGAACATCAGACAATCTTGACAAGACTGCCAGATTTCACTTGCGCCAACTTACTGGGTGAAGAATAAAACAGTGCATCGAACAAAGACAGTCAGACAGACAGATACTTACACACACACACACACGCACAAACATGCACACACGCACACAGACACGAACACACTCACCACTATACACACGCACAAATGAGGCACACACTAGCACACAAATACCTCTAACGTCAGTGAATAATGTTTTGTTGTTGTATTTGTTGAGGTATTTTATTGTGGTACGACAATGAATCTGTTTCCCCAACGTTCTCCATCCTCCGTACTCAATCCTCGACGGACCATAATGTGTGTAATTTTGCTACTAAACAAAGGATCTAATGTCTGCTGCCAAATCAGGCAAATCCTATTGAAGGCAAGTGCATCAAAAGCGCAGATATCCATTGTAAATTATCATTGTTAACCAACAAAAGCCAACGATTGTTAATGAACCTACGTATTGAGATTCATGTGCACTTCATGATAATGATGATGAAGGTGATGATGAAGATTAATAATGATAATGATGATGATATGATAGTGGTTGTGAATGTGTACTAAAAGGAAAGATTGTCAGGGAACAGTGCCACTTAAACATTCAGGGATCTTGATAAAAAATCAATGCTTAAACAGAAAAGGGGAAGTTATGACACAATTGTAACCCTGTGTGTTGTCTGTGTTCGTGTGTGTGGGCGTGTGTGTTTGTGCGTGTGTGTTTGTGTGTGTGTTTGTGTGTGTGTGTGTGTGTGTGTGTCTGTCTGTCTGTGTCTGTATGTCTGTCTGTGTGACGGTCTGTCTTAGTTCAATGCACTGTATTATTCCTCACCCAGTAAGTTGGCGCAAGTGAAATATGGCAGTCTTGTAAAGATTGTCTGATGTTCAGTCATGCGTGAAGGGATTCAAATGAAAATGGGACCTAAATGTACTTGGAGGATAACTCTATCGAGACAGATCATGAAACCCCTGATTAAATATTCATACTTCAAACAACACAACTTTTAATTCAACCCTAAATTTCAGACAGCTCCCTAACAGTAGACTTATGCCGATTATTTGGAAGCATATCAGGCTGCATACATGTATAATTAAGCTGCGCACAATCTTAAAACGGGCATTAAATGCGACGAGTAAATTGTGTGCATTACTATGATTGACCATGTGATGTCACAATGCTTATCAGTATTTTGCCACGATGTGATCGGAATACTAGTAAAGATATTCTACTTGGCTAAGCCCAATACTAAGTAAAAAAAAAGGGGACGAAAACAGAGGGTCGAATTGAATACCGACCCAGTGTGTTAACCTTTGAGTACTTGACGCGCATTCACAATACACTGTCGCTCATAAAGTTGGAATATTTTTGTTTTACCCTAATTTATGGAATTATTTTAAAAATAATTTAAAAATAATAGATCTAGATGATAGTATATATTCTCAGATTTTATTGAATAATAATTTGACAATGTGTGTTTTGCGTGACTGCTAAAGCATGTGTATGCTACTATGCTTATCAAAGAGGGGACCTACGCCCATAAGTCATAAATGACAGTAATGAGGATTAATGCCCCACAGAAGGGCACTAATATAGCACATTGACATGGTTTTGATCCTGGGGCCTCACAGTTACGAGGACATTGCTTTGTCACTGAACCATGACTGTACGCAGCGGGGGCTAGGGTAGGGGGCAGTTTCCACCAATAAAAAAAACAAAGAAAATGCAATAAATTTTCAATCATTTATTGCATTTTACCCCGGTTCCCAACATAAAATAATCCTCCGTGTGCCCAGGCCTTGAGCCATAATGCATGGCCGTCAAGAGGATTTTGTAATGTTGGGGACCGGCGTAAAATGCAATAAATTATTGAACATTTATTGCATTTTTTTGTTAAAACTTATGCAAACTGCCCCCTACCCTAGCCCCCGCTGCGTACAGTCATGGTTCAGTGACAAAGCAATGGCCTCGTAACTGTGAGGCCCCATGATCAAAACCGTGTCGATGTGCTATATTAGTGCCCTTTTGTTGGCATTAATCCTTAGTACTGTCATTTATGACTTAAGGGCGTAGGTCCCCAAGTTGATAAGCATAGTAGTATACACATGCTTTAGCAGTCACGCAAAACACACATTGGCAAATTATTAATCAATAAAATCTGAGAATGTATACTTATATCTAGATCTATTATTTTCAAATTATTTTTAAAATACTTTCGTAAATTGGGGTAAAACTAAAATATTCCAACTAAACACACACACATAAACACACACACACACATACACACGCACACACACACACATACTCGCGCGCGCAGGAAAACGTGGACCTGCCATTCTTTCTGTCAAACCGTGGACTTCTTTATTTCAGGGGGTATTATCATAATGTTGACTACACATGATCAGTAGATGTTTCTCATTTAAAAACTTCATTTGAAAAAAAGAAGTTCCTTCTAAATCTCTTTCGAATTTTCCAAAATTTCAACAGTACAATTGTGGACTTTAATGTAACCTAGGGCTCAATGTGGTGAACTGTGGACTTGAGATAACGCTTGACCCCTACATGAAAACGCGGACCTGCTCTCTTATTCCTGTCAAAACGTGGACATCTATATTTCAGGGTGTATTTTGATAATGTTGACTTGGAAATGACTAGTACAAATTTCTCATTTAAAAACTTCATTTGGAAAAAAAAGAAATTCCTTTTAGTAACATGTTTAAATCTCTTTCCGATTTCAATAGTACAAAATTAATGTGGACTTTAATGTAACCGAGGACTCGATGTGGTGAACCAGGCACGGATCCAGGATTTCTTAGGGGGGGGGGGGCCCAAATTTGAAATTATGCGAGCCAAATATTGGTACGTAATGGTGACTAGCAATGACGTAATGGGGGGGGGGGGGTGCAGGAAGGGGCGATTTTCCCCTCCCTCCTCCGCAAAGCGCCGAAGCTTTGACGTTTCATTAAATTATTAGAGAAAGAAGACGATCCGTTGTACCGCTCTCGAAAATAATCCTCGTCTGAATACAGTTTTCCCCCTCCTGCGCGAAGCGCGGAAGCTTTTACGTTTCATTAGATCATTAGAGAAAGAAGACAATTCGTTGTACCGTTCTCGACTCCTAATCCTCGTCTGAATTCAGTCCCCCCCCCCCCTCCCGCGCGAAGCGCGGAAGCTTTGACATTTCATTTAATTATTAGAGAAACAAGACGATTCGTTGTACCGTTCTCGAATATAATCCTCGTCTGATTTCAGTTCCCCCCCCCTCCTCCCGCGCGAAGCGCGGAAGCTTTTACCTTTCATTAAATCATTAGGGAAAGAAGGCGATTCATTGTACCGTTCTCGACTCTTAATCCTCGTCTGAATTCAGTTAACCCCTCTCCCGCGCGAAGCGCGGAAGCTTTTACGTTTAATTAAATTATTAGAGAAACAAGACGATTCGTATTACCATTCTTGACTCTTAATCCTTGTCTGAATTCAGTCTCCCCCCTCCTGCGCGAAGTAGGGAAGCTTTGACGTTTCATTAAATTATTAGAGAAAGAAGACGATTCGTTGTACCATTCTCGACAATAATCCTCGTCTGATTTCAGTTCCCCCCCCCCTGCCGCGTGAGGCGCGGAAGTTTTTACCTTTCATTAAATCATTAGGGAAAGAAGGCGATTCATTGTACCGTTCTCGACTCTTAATCCTCGTCTGAATTCAGTTTACCCCCCCCCCCCCCTCCCGTGCGAAGCACGGAAGCTTTTACGTTTCATTAAATTATTAGAGAAACAAGACGATTCGTATTACCATTCTTGACTCTTAATCCTTGTCTGAATTCAGTCTCCCCCCTCCTGCGCGAAGCAGGGAAGCTTTGACGTTTCATTAAATTATTAGAGAAAGAAGGCGATTCATTGTACCGTTCTCGACTCTTAATCCTTGTCTGAATTCAGTCTCCCCCCTCCTGCGCGAAGCACGGAAGCTTTGACGTTTCATTAAATTATTAGAGAAAGGAGACGATTCGTTGTACCGTTCTCGACTCTCAATCCTCGTCTGAATTCTGTTCACCCCCCCCCCCCTCCCGCGCGAAAGCTTTGACGTTTCATTAAAATTATTTAAGAAAGAAGATGATTCGCTGTACCGTTCTCTTCTCTTAATCCTTGTCTCAATTCAGTCCCACCCCCTCCTGCGCGAAGCGCGGAAGCTTTGACATTTCATTAAATTATTAGAGAAAGAAGACGATTCGTTGTACCGTTTTCGACTCTTAATCCTTGTCTGATTTTCAAAACTGTTTTATTGTCTGCTTCTTTTTCTGCCTACGTCCTCTTCCTTTTCTCTCCTCCCTTTTTTTGGCCAGCGTTTTTTTTGGGGGGGCCGCCCCCACAACCCCCTGGCTACGCGCCTGCGGTCAGATGAACATATTTTGCTACTTTGTCCGCCCCCGGAAACTCAGGGGTTTAAGGCAATACATTACACACAGATAAGCATTCAGGGGCCCGCCTTAGGGCCCCTGGTGGGGTCGAGGGTGCGAACACCCCGGAATATCAGGGGTTTTAGGCATTTGATTACGGTCAGACGAGCATATTTTGTATCAAGTACCTTATTTGTGACACTGGCAGAACACTGATTGGCGTGAGGTCCAGCGGGCGGATCTCCAGAAGCTCAAGGGTTTTAGGCACTAACTTACGGTCAGATGAGTATCAAGGGGCCCATCTTAGGGCCCTTGGTTTGGTCCCGGGGGCAGAGCCCCCTGAAGCTTATGGGTTTTAGGCGTTTAATTACGGTCACATGAGCATTTTTTAATACCGTATTTTGTTGTGACACTGGCAGTTAACTATTCTTTCTAGTAGAGGTGTTGTGGTCGAGTGGATACGTCGCCGGACTGTCGATCACAAGGCCCGCGGTTCGAGTCCCGCCGCTGCACTTATGTCCTTTGGCAAGACATTGGTCTACATTTGCCACACTCCACCCAAGTGAAGTAAAATGTACCTGGTAGGAATTTATTCCTTGAAACGCAGCGCGCGTAACAGCTGCACTGCTAAAGCCAGGGTAATTATGCTGCATTATTGTAGAGCGCTTAGAGACTTCTGACAAAGTAAGTGTTAGGCGCTATATAAGCACTGTAATTATTATTATTTCTTTCTTGCTCTCTTTCTTTCTATTTCTTTTTAATATTCTTTTTCAAAAAAGTGGGGAGGGGGGGGGGGGGGGGGGGGGAGCCCTGACATGTAGGCATCTCAAGAAGCATATTTCTTGCCTGGCTGTAAATTTAGGAGTTTGTCATTTTACAACAAGCGCATAAAAAGTATAATTTACTAAAAAATGAGGAAAAATCTCTGAAAATTATGTAATTTCAGCATTATGTGTAAACCACCGTTATGGAATTAGAAATAAACTACGTTAACATTTGATTTCCCCCGAGCCCCCTCAGTACGCCAGTGCCCCCCCCCTCCCCCTCCCCCCCCCCCCCCCCCCCCCTCTGATCTACACTTTGTTGGCGGAAAAATCGCAACTGATCTCCCTTACCTTTCTTCTTTCTCTTTATTTCTTTCCCTTTCTCTCCTCTTTCCCTTCCCTTCCTTCTCTCTCTTTTAGGTTTGCTGGGGGGGGGGGGGGGGAGCAAGGGCGTTTTGCCTCACCCCACCCCGATCCACAACTTGTTGGCGGGAAAATTGCAACTGATACCCCCTTCTTTTCTTTTCTTCTTCCTCAATTTTCCTTCCGTTTATCTCCTCTTTTCCTTTCTTCTTTCCATTTCCTTCCTTCTCTCTTATTTTTTTGATTGCGGGGGGGGGGGGGGGAGGCAACAGCCTGGGAGGCGAGGCCCTTTCGCCCCCGATCTCCTTTTCTTTTCTTCTTCCTCTTCTTTCTTTCCCTTCTTTTCTTTCTCTCTCTCTCTTTTTTTTTCATTCTTTTTTTTTCCCATCTTTTTTTCCCCTTCTTTTCCCCCCCTTTTTTTTCCCTTCCTTTTGTCCCACTTTTTTTCTCCTTCTTTTTTGTGCCCAGGGGGGGGGGGGGGCGCCCCCCTGGATCCGCCACTGTGGTGAACTGTGGACTTTGGGTAACGCTTGACCCCTACATGAAAACGTGGACCTGCTTTTCTTCCTGTCAAAACGTGGACTTCTTTATTTTAGGGTGTATTTTGATGTTGACTTGGAAATGACTAGTACTAAATTTCTCATTTAAAAGCTTCATTTGGAAAAAAAAAAAGGAATTCCTTTTAGTAACATGTTTAAATCTCTTCCCGATTTCAATATTACAAAATTACTGTGGACTTTAATGTAACCGAGGGCTCGATGTGGTGAACTGTGGACTTTGGGTAACGCTTGACCCCTACATGAAAACGTGGACCTGCTTTTCTTCCTGTCAAAACGTGGACTTCTTTATTTCAGGGTGTATTTTGGAGTTGACTTGGAAATGACTAGTACTAAATTTCTCATTTAAAAGCTTCATTTGGAGAAAAAAAAGGAATTCCTTTTAGTAACATGTTTAAATCTCTTCCCGATTTCAATAGTACAAAATTACTGTGGACTTCAATGTAACCGAGGGCTCGATGTTGTGAACTGTGGACTTTGGGTAACGCTTGTCCCCTACATGAAAACGTGGACCTGCTTTTCTTCCTGTCAAAACGTGGACTTCTTTATTTCAGGGTGTATTTTGATGTGGACTTGGAAAAGACTAGTACAAATTTCTCGTTTAAAAATTTATTTGGAAAAAAAGGAATTCCTTTTAGTAACATGTTTAAATCTCTTTCCGATTCAATAGTACAAAATTAATGTGGACTTCAATGTAACCGAGGGCTCGATGTGTGAACTGTGGACTTTGGGTAACGCTTGTCCCCTACATGAAAACGTGGACCTGCTTTTCTTCCTGTCAAAACGTGGACTTCTTTATTTCAGGGTGTATTTTGATAATGTTGACTTGGAAATGACTAGTACTAAATTTCTCATTTAAAAGCTTCATTTGGAAAAAAAAAAAGGAATTCCTTTTAGTAACATGTTTAAATCTCTTCCCGATTTCAATATTACAAAATTACTGTGGACTTTAATGTAACCGAGGGCTCGATGTGGTGAACTGTGGACTTTGGGTAACGCTTGACCCCTACATGAAAACGTGGACCTGCTTTTCTTCCTGTCAAAACGTGGACTTCTTTATTTCAGGGTGTATTTTGGAGTTGACTTGGAAATGACTAGTACTAAATTTCTCATTTAAAAGCTTCATTTGGAGAAAAAAAAGGAATTCCTTTTAGTAACATGTTTAAATCTCTTCCCGATTTCAATAGTACAAAATTACTGTGGACTTCAATGTAACCGAGGGCTCGATGTTGTGAACTGTGGACTTTGGGTAACGCTTGACCCCTACATGAAAACGTGGACCTGCTTTTCTTCCTGTCAAAACGTGGACTTCTTTATTTCAGGGTGTATTTTGATAATGTTGACTTGGAAATGACTAGTACAAATTTCTCGTTTAAAAACTTCATTTTGAAAAAAAAAGGAATTCCTTTTAGTAACATGTTTAAATCTCTTCCCGATTTCAATATTACAAAATTAATGTGGACTTTAATGTAACCGAGGGCTCGATGTGGTGAACTGTGGACTTTGGGGAACGCTTGTCCCCTACATGAAAACGTGGACCTGCTTTTCTTCCTGTCAAAACGTGGACTTCTTTATTTTAGGGTGTTTTTTTATGTTGACTTGGAAATGACTAGTACAAAATTTCTCATTTAAAAACTTCATTTGGAAAAAAAAAAGGAATTCCCTTTAGTAACATGTTTAAATCTCTTCCCGATTTCAATATTACAAAATTAATGTGGACTTTAATGTAACCGAGGGCTCGATGTGGTGAACTGTGGGCTTTGGGGAACGCTTGTCCCCTACATGAAAACGTGGACCTGCTTTTCTTCCTGTCAAAACGTGGACTTCTTTATTTCAGGGTGTATTTTGATAATGTTGACTTGGAAATGACTAGTACAAAATTTCTCATTTAAAAACTTCGTTTGGAAAAAAAAGGAATTCCTTTTAGTAACATGTTTAAATCTCTTTCTGATTCAATAGTACAAAATTACTGTGGACTTTAATGTAACCGAGGGCTCGATGTTGTGAACTGTGGACCTTGGGTAACGCTTGACCCCTACATGAAAACGTGGACCTGCTTTTCTTCCTGTCAAAACGTGGACTTCTTTATTTCAGGGTGTATTTAACCCACTTTTCATGCGTCTAGTGCTACATCACCAACCAGCCGGGGCCGAAAACAAAACAAAACACCACATTCATTTTGTCATCAGAGCTGAAATTTACAGTAGGTATGTGGAGTGCATGAAAACAGGTCATGACAAATTTAAACGTGGTGGTAATTTGTTTACGACGCCATTTTCCAAAATGAACTAGTATTTTGTGAATCGGGTACTTCTTCTCCTTATAAGTCTTCATTTTAAATATAATAACTGTCAGGTGAAAAAGGGTGCCTACATTATGGTTCAAAGGGTCGGGACATAGCACAGCACAGCTGCTTCATTGACAAGTTCAAATGTTTCAACTCAAAGACATTTAAAGGGGCATTTCGTGATCCACAACATTCCCCCCCCCCCCGGATTTATACAAAACCACCCCAGATTTTGATGCCATCTGAAACCTTCGCCACCTGTTCTGCAGATCTACATGTTCACGATAGAAATCCTAAAATGTATGAACATTTTAATTTCTTTCCGTTCACAGAACGAAATCATTTCATAATAAATTTCTCAAATCAAATAACTAATAGTGAATATAGCTGTATCAATCCAGTAAATCGTATAATTGGCGAGTGTATCATGCTTAAACATAGTGTAACAGGTTTTCTGAAGATTTATCAGATTGACGAACAAACTTGCAAAAACCCTATCTAATGCCTCCTAAGTGTTTCCAAGATAGTCTTATTACCATATTGTTGTTTTTCAGGTGAATATGTCAAAAACCAACCATTTGCAAACTTATAAGTCATCATGTGCATGCAACAAAGGTCGTATCTACATTTTCTTCATTTTGCGGGAGAAGCCATTTTGTGTTCAACTTTGTTTTCTTTGTCTCTTACCATCTTCTTTCTTTTATAAAATAAAACTGTTTAAATTTGAGACTTGAAGTCTAATTTAAAAAATGAATATTTAATTCTTTCAAAATGAAAAGAAAACTAATTTGTGCCCAAAATGTCAGTTACGACCTTGTTTCATTCACATGGTGGAGTATCAAGATAAGCCGGAATAAAATCATAAAAACATGAGATGCCCCTTTAATATAAAATAAAATACTTCGACATGCCTTTCAAATACAGCAAAACTGTTTTTATTATTAAAGACAACTTTGAAAAAATAAGGCTTATAAAACAAGGTTCCAACAAAACATGATACATCTCAGTTCAGAGGACAACGAACACATAGGTGGGCTGTTATACAGGTATGGTAGGAGAGGAGTTACTCGCAACTTGGGGATTGTTTAGACCCATATTCATGCCTTCTTTTGCAGTGAAATCAGCCCCCAGTGACCTTTAAAAACAAAAATTCCCATATAAAAGTGAATCATGGTGTTGCAATATTGAAATTGGAGTAGCAAACTACATAACATTAATATTTACCTCTATCATAATTTGGTATACACAAGAAAGAGTTTGAGTACTAAGCTTCTGAATAGCGTTTTTGCAAAACCTTAATTTTCATGTTTAGATGTTACAAAATTGAAATCTGACATGATAAAAACTAATGTATTTCGCTTCAAGCTGTTAAAAAAAAAAAAAATCGTAAGTGGTGATTTTGCTTTTAAAGGCGGCATGAATATGGATCTGAATAATAACATTTTATTTAAAATCCCTACAAAAACCTTCAGTCCCAGCGAGGGCATTAGTATCTGCTTTGAAAATATCCACTTTGGAATGGCGTGCTGGGCAGTCAAGATGTGTACATCAAAATAAGATCGCAACAGAAATATCAGAGTTGGACAAATATTTCCCAAATATGCCCGTGTCTCTTTAATCAAGATCTTAATTTAAAGAATGAAAGTTACATTTGTTAATAAAAGCAAGTGGAAAGTATCAGCATATTTGTGTTCTGAACCCAGGATTCCGAATTCCATAATCCATTTCATTTTTGTATAGAACTCGGGTTACAAAGTGATATGTTATGAACATATAAACATTACATTTTAGTGGATGGATAGTAACATCAAAACATGACCAATACATCACTTTTGTGCTAATCTTGTCTTCTTTGTACAAAAGTATTGGGCAAAGAAATACAGTCAAACAAAACTGTTGGAAAATGGACTACATATAGACATTTTAAATTATCACTTTCATGTCAGATAATAGGTCACATTGTCCATGGAGTTGGGTTATAGTCCGACGTAGACGACAAACCAGACATAGTGATCATTCATCTCTTCAACCAGCATTATAGTTTTGCACATCATTCTTCATTTTGACTGTCTATGGGTGCTGGGCTATTCCCACTGGTGGGCCCTACAGAGAATCTAAATTCAAATTTGAATACGACGACAATACCCTTTGTTTCACAAAACATTTGTAGTGACGTCAACTAGTTTGCGTTCCAAGCGTATCAACCTGTCCATGCCTATTCAATCACCTTATCTTAACGATCATGAAGCACGCACGAAAAGCATGTGATGTCACTACAGACATTTTGGTAAAATACAGAGTAATGTACAATGTAGTGTAGGTATACCTATAATACAAAACATGATTTATTTTTAGAATGAATTTGATATAAAACAGCTTTTGCCCAAATAATATTTCTTCAATGATAAACCTGACCTTCTGTTTCAACTCCTTTTCTGAAATACCAGCCATTCCACAAATTTTGGTCAACCAGCATTTAACTGCAATAATACTGAACAATCAACTTTTTTAACATGTACACTATGAACGGTGAATTGTAAACTGTATATACCTGATCTAACTATTATAATATGATATACTGTTTAATACAGGCTAGTGGTACATTTTAATACACAACTAACAAATGTATTACAACATTGCTCATACTAGCTACATCAAATAACAAAATGTTATACATATAATTTGAGAGTGCTCTGGTAAGAATATTTTCATGAGGTGAAAGATTAGTTGCACCATACCAGGAGCTAGCGGAACGGCCAATCTTCCACTAAAATGAAAATATTCTATCCGATGAATTAAACATTTATCATTTGTTGTATAACTCATCTACAGATTCCCATCTAAAATATTTTATAAATCATCAGGAAGACAAGATTCAATTCAATAAAAACTATTTTTTTAATGTTCCTTTAGAAGCAGAACCCACACTTATAATTGGCGGTGGTCATCACGCTTGGAATTCAAACCCAGAAAAAGTGTTCTTTGCAGGTGATGTCACTACAGAAGTTGTGATGAAACAAAGGGTATTCATTACTTAAAGCATACACATTTTTTTCCACATAACAGGAAAAGATTAACAATTGATTGCATTGCATGAGAACATGTCTTGTCAAGACATTTAACTCACTCTTTACAAAAAACAAAAACAAACACAAACATCAGAAATTCATAACAACAAACTGAACCAAGGGTAAATTTGTAATATGTCACATTTTCATATATGAACAAAACACTCTTGCATGCACTATCCATTTCAGAACTCTATATAGATTGTGTACATGTATGTAAAACTATAAAACTGTTCAAAACAACACTGGATGAAAAATTGAATACACTCAATGGTATATGCAAGATTGGAGTTGACCAACTCTGTAGCTTGTCACTACAGACGTTTTGGTAAAATACAGAGTAATGTACAATGTAGTGTAGGTATACCTATAATACAAAACATGATTTATTTTTAGAATGAATTTGATATAAAACAGCTTTTGCCCAAATAATATTTCTTCAATGATAAACCTGACCTTCTGTTTCAACTCCTTTTCTGAAATACCAGCCATTCCACAAATTTTGGTCAACCAGCATTTAACTGCAATGATACTGAACAATCAACTTTTTTAACATGTACACTATGAACGGTGAATTGTAAACTGTATATACCTGATCTAACTATTATAATATGATATACTGTTTAATACAGGCTAGTGGTTACATTTTAATACACAACTAACAAATGTATTACAACATTGCTCATACTAGCTACATCAAATAACAAAATGTTATACATATAATTTGAGAGTGCTCTGGTAAGAATATTTTCATGAGGTGAAAGATTAGTTGCACCATACCAGGAGCTGGCGGAACGGCCAATCTTCCACTAAAATGAAAATATTCTATCCGATGAATAAAACATTTATCATTTGTTGTATAACTCATCTACAGATTCCCATCTAAAATATTTTATAAATCATCAGGAAGACAAGATTCAATTCAATAAAAACTATTTTTTTAATGTTCCTTTAGAAGCAGAACCCACACTTATAATTGGCGGTGGTCATCACGCTTGGAATTCAAACCCAGAAAAAGTGTTCTTTGCAGGTGATGTCACTACAGAAGTTGTGATGAAACAAAGGGTATTCATTACTTAAAGCATACACATTTTTTTCCACATAACAGGAAAAGATTAACAATTGATTGCATTGATTGCATTGCATGAGAACATGTCTTGTTAAGACATTTAACTCACTCTTTACAAAAAACAAAAACAAACACAAACATCAGAAATTCATAACAACAAACTGAACCAAGGGTAAATTTGTAATATGTCACATTTTCATATATGAACAAAACACTCTTGCATGCACTATCCATTTCAGAACTTTATATAGATTGTGTACATGTATGTAAAACTATAAAACTGTTCAAAACAACACTGGATGAAAAATTGAATACACTCAATGGTATATGCAAGATTGGAGGTGACCAACTCTGTAGCTTATCAAAGCTGACCCATAAGTCGCTGTTTGACCAACAAATTACCTCATACAGTGGCAACTCGTTCTTGCAAACCCTTTTCTTAACACAAAGTTCCAAATAATACAAAGAGGAATTCAATTTCCAAGGTGTTCTTGTAAATTTCATTCTATCCTGATAACACAAACCTAAATCCAAACCCCCACCAACTTTGTGTAAATGAGTTGCTACTCTACACAGTACAGGAACGAAGATGCTTCTGATCCCAGCCAAATGAGGAGATATCAAACTTGAATGGGCATAGTACCTTAACAAGTTTGATCAGATCACAGATTGGAGAAATGCAATGGAGCATCTCATGTTTGCAAAGGGACTTTGGGGCTAACTCTTATTATCTCCCCAGCTGGGTCAACACAAGTGAGCATCATATGTCCCCGTTTAAGCTGAAAACCTTTATACATGGGCTATTCAATTCCTAGGACGACCAGCCGGGAGGTAATAATCAAGGTTGGCCTGCAAAGTCCCCATTTGATCTACACAACTTTTAACATCTTAAAACATGTAATTACCTACAACTTAAGGATGCACCCAGCAACGTCAAAGTTTGCCATACCCTTAAATGATTTTTTTTTTATTGCTATCTTCAAACTCTGTTCCATCATGTCAGTAAATTCTGTGATGCTAATATAAACATTGAACCATCAAAAACTGTTTTGTGGACCCTTTTCAGGTTTAAAATCTAACAAAACTACAGATGAAACCTTTTTTAACGCAAAATGACAGTGTCCGTTTATGCGATGCATGCTACGTGTCCCGTCACATTGCAACACGATGTGCAATATCCGCGCAATCTATCTACGTGACACAACGCCCATGGAAACAGCAAGCAATGTAAACAGATGGTGAGACCATGTGGACGTTTACTCTCAAATCCATATAAATTCAATTGGAAAAAATGTCTAATGTACCATCGGATGCAGCATATTGTCGGCAACCGTATACCAAAGTCAGGATCGAGACACAGGATCTTGGGGTTTTCAAGATGAGATTGAAAATGCAACTGAAAATCCATGTTTCTGCATAAAATCATAATTTCAGCCATTTCATTTTTAATAGTTTATATGAGTTTTGAACCCTCAGGACTCAAAAATAAAACATTTCTGATTTAAGATTTCATACAGAATACATTGTACCTACTAAAATCTAGTAACGTTTTTTTGTAATTAGGCCCTAGAACTTTTTTTATAGCCCACAACTCATAAGTTCAAACTTGGTTATTATATTTTTGGTACATTGTGAGTTATATTTTGGACACTAGGAAAATAATTTTTTGTTGCAAGGATATTTTATTTATGGTGGTCGAAAAAAATGGGTAAAAAAAATGATAAATTGTTGTCCAAATTGTATGTGTTCAATGGATTTAACAGGTCATTTTCAGCCAGAAAATGTATACCTTTATACACTTCCCATCAATAGTTTTTGAGTTACATACGAGATGAACTATACTGCATAAAGCATGTTGCTGAGTGCATCCTTAAATAAACAATGTTCTTGGCTCAGAAGCTGATCATAGTTTGTCGCAGAAATATACCCCACTTACCCTGCAAATCTTTATACAAACTGTTACACATTGGTCAATGCTCCCTGATAATTGACTGCAACTGGAAAATTATCGAAGCTGGCAAGCTTTGAGTCCACATTTGATCTGTAAAACTTTATTCACAATTTGGCCTTGACTAACTGGGGATCTGATCATAGATGGTACAAAGTCCCATTTGATCTGCAGACATAACTTAATAGAAACACATTGAACACATGATTATGCTTTAATGGTTATCTGGCCCTACCCAATAGCTGAGTGCGAGGACCTGATTAAATTTCACAAAAGGGGCAAATGGTCTACTTTTTGATGATTTTTTTGAAAAAAAGGGTCCAAACTTAGATGAAATTGGACAAGAGTGGTGAGATATTTATAAAGTCTAATAAAGGCCAAAGGTCCATGGTAATTGACCAACAGTCAAAACCCAACTGCTAACCAAGTTGTCTCATAAATCAAAATTAGACATGTTACTTTTTACACAATTTTCAATTTCATGGGACTTCACCTGGCCTTGACTAATTGAGGATCAAAGGTGGTAGCTATGTCCCATTTGATCTGCAATGTACTTAAAAATCTAAATTTTGCAAGTAGCGGGCCTTTGACGAGTCAAGTTAGCCATAAGTCCCCATTTGACGTGCAAACTTTAGTTTACACAATGTGGATGCTTCCTCATCAGCTGGAACTAGCCAACTGAGGACCTCGATCATCACAGTTGGCTCTTAAATCCAAACATTATACATAGCGGTCCTTTGACGAGTCATCATGGCCCTGATCAACTGGTGAGCCAAGTAAAGTTGACCAAAAGTGCCCATTTGACCTACAAACTTAACTTTCACACAATGTACACATGCGGATGCTTCCTGGTAATCGGACCCAAGCCAACTGAGGACCTGATCAAAATTGCCCATAAGTCACTAGTTGATTGCAAAACATTACATACTGGCCTATTTAACTGGGGAGCCAAGCAAAGTTGGCCTAAAGTCCCTATTTGACCTGCAAACTTTATTTTACATAGTGTACACATGTGGATGCTTCCTTGTCATGGTCTAAGCCAACTGAGGACCTGATCACAGTTGGCTCTTAATTCCCAGTTGATATGGAAAACATTATACATCTAGTCCTATCACGAGTCCTATCAACCATGAACCTAATCTAGGGGAAGTGAGCAAAGTTGGAGTTTGACCTGTAAACCTTTATGCACATTGTTACACATGTGATGCTCACTGACGTTGACCATCTGGTGATATGGGAGCTGATAAAATTGACCTGTAAGTCATCATTTAAACTGCAAAACGTTAACCTGGCAAACTGGGGCTTATCAAACAACTTTAGCACAAAAGTTCCCATTTGCCTTACAATCTTCTATACAGTATACATACTGTTAGACACAAGTCTACTCCCTGGCCCTGACCAACTGGGCAGGTAATTAAGTTTTTCCTATTAAGTTCCCATTTGACTTGCAGAACCATACACTGCTTTACACACAGTATGCTTCCTGGCCATGGAGTTAACTGTTAACCTATATAAAGGTGCACCTCTTCCAAAGCACAGCCCTTCATCAAGGAAACCAGTAAGTGGGTTATATGAATAAGAAGCAACCACATTTTACGCATGTCAGTACCTGAAAAGATTTCATCCAAAATTGCGGAGTGTGATGAACATGATTAATTTCACTCATAACAGGTTGAAAATTCACTAAAAATCCAGTGGATTTGTCTTTCTAATTTGGTTTCTAATGAAATCTTTGACTGTTGTCCACCTTTTAGTACGACCCTTCAGGTCTGCATCCATCTTGCAGTACTTCATTATTTTTTCTTTACCGGGCAGTTGGCGTGAGCGTAGTTCTTCTTTAAAGTGTCTGTGTATTGCTTGTTTTTCTTCAGCTGTCCAAGATTGTCTGATACTCCTTTTCTTTCTGCTGGCACCACGGTCACTTTCCTTGTTTGCAACTTGGTCACTCTTCTTTCTGCTTTGCTGCGGCATGCTCATACCTTTAATAGTGAATTAGACAAATAAGTAGGGAAACACAATTAATGTTTCAGGTTCAATGACAGATTTTAAAAAACTTAACCAAATGCAGAAGATGGTAGCTGAGAGAAGAGTGGAATGGTTATATTTTGATTTTTTTTTTAAAGTTACAATTTACATTACTTTTAGCTAGTTCTTCATTTAAAGCTGTCTGCATTAGGAGTGCCATTTAGCCAGAATTCAAACTAAGCGAATGCTAAAATTCAAATAGTGACACAAGGATAATCACCTGTTGAGGGCATCTGGAATAATCAAAGTAAGGATAAACTAGATGGAACTTCGACTGCGCGCATTCGAAAATGATGCCTCCGTCATAGAGCAAGTTTACAAACCAAAACAGAAGAAATTTTTCAAATTCGAATTTCATTGTAATCCATTAACAGGTTCTCAGAATATCGTGATTACAAGCAATTTCTCATATACATATATGACCCTTTGATCTTTGACCTCATGACCCTAAAATCTACTCAGTTCATTGGCTCTGCAAGATGTCCTGAATTAAATAGTAATCCATCTGTCAGTTCTAATGATAAAGCTGTTTTTGCATACATAATGAGCCCATGACATTTGACCTTTGACCTCATGACCCATAAATCTACTCAGTTCATTGGCTCTGCAAGATACATACATGACCTAAGTTTGGCAGGAATCCATCAATCGGTTCTTGAGATAACGCGATCACGAGCTGTTTTTCATACATAATGAGCCCTGTGACCTTTGACCTTTGACCTTGTGACCCCAAAATCTTATCAGTCCATCGGCTCTGCAAGATACATACATGACCAAAGTTTGGCAGGAATCCATCAATCGGTTCTTCAGATAACGCGATCACGAGAACGGGACGGACGGACGGACGGACGGACAACCCGAAAACATAATGCCTCCGGCTACTTCGTAACGGAGGCCTAACAAAGGATATAACAAAGTAATTCATTCACACCTTCATTTTCTTTGTCTGACATCTCATCCATCAAAACAGCATCATCGGGCCTGTTCACTTCGTTGTCAGGATCATCATCAACATCTGGATCTATGTTGCATTCTGAAAAACAAAAAACAAACACAGATTTAACAAGAGCAGGTGAAAAATAACATACATGTACATTATAATCTTTGCAAGGGTAAGTTCATAGCAGACAGCTGTGGATAGTCATCCCTGTTTTGCTTTTCATGTAAACAGCACAGCTGGTACCACAACTACTCTTCAATACAAAGTGTATTTAGAGAGACAATTCTGCAAGTGTCATCATTTTTTTAAAACACATGAGTATCCAAAATATATCAAAATATGCAAATTAGCTCATTAAATGTCATGATTATGCAAATAATGCAATGAAAAGCATCACACAACATCTTGGCACCTCAGTCTGTCACCCTACCAGGTTTCAAATGAATCAGGTATAGCGTTTAGCCTGCAGAGCATTTTTTTTAAGGTTAACCTAAATTGCATTGCAAATAAGCTAATTGAAATTCATGAATATGCAAATAATACAGCTCAAAGCAACACATGATATTGTGGCACCTCACTCTATCACCCTACCAAGTTAGAAGTAAATCGGGCATAGCGTTTAACCTGCGGATCATCCTACCAAGTTTTGGAGTAAATCAAGCATAGCGTTTAGCCTGCGGAGCATTTTTAGAAGGGTTAACCGAAAACGTTAACCGAATCGGTTAATGGAAAGACGGACATAGATAATTTGGATTAGTATGTGCCACCATGAACGTTCAGTAAGGCGACACAAAAATCAAATCACATATTCAAGTATTTGAAATGTTGGCAGCTTCCCATATATTGTATCTCGGATCAATTCTTATTAAAACTGGAGGTACTAATGAAGACATCCCAGTTTGCTTACCAAAAGCATGGAACTTCACAAACTGAAGGATATAGCAAGCATACAAAACTAAGGAAATTATACAATATAAAAACTGTGTTGTATGAGAGTGAAATGAATGATTGAGATGTAACATAAAAGTTTTCTGGCCTAATGTAATCTCAAACTAGAAACCGTTATGATCTCACTAACCAATCAGATATCACTTTAGATAAAAGTAGAAGGAAATGAAAATGGTATGGCATATTCTCAGCCATTCTATCTAGCACAAAACATAAAAAATAGTCATACCTTCATCTGCATCTACACGAACATCATCCAACGTCTTTCCTGCCATTGCCTTTAGGTCTCCCTTCTCCATGCTGAAGAGTACTTTAGAAATCTTTGCTACTTGCAGTGACGCATCTGGCAGGCGGTAGTAGGCTCTGTGGGTTCTTATGTCATGGCCCATGAAGGTGGCTAAAATGTCCACTTCATTATCCTTCAAATTCATGATCTGAGAGCTGATAGCAATGTGCTTCCTGAGTTTTGTCAATCTAAGCTGATCTGGATACTTTGCTCCACACTTTTGGGCATGATTTCGCACTGTATCAGTTGCTCTCAAGTGGCCTCTTCCATCGGGGTTTGCAAACAAGTAGGGATTTCCATCATTGACTACTTGTGACCTTTTCTCCATCAACAAGTCAATGCTGCCTTTCATGTCATCTGTTAGCAAAACGGGTACAGTGTTATTGCATTTCCCATTAATCTCCACCCTCCATACCACATTGCACAACGCCTTTTCCCATTTGGTTAGGCCTTCACCAAATATTCCACCTTCTCCTTTTGTGATACACTTGTAATCACTGAGGGGCATCTTTGAAACTTCTCCCGGACGCTTCCTGTTGAAAACACACACCTGGGTCAGGGTAACCTCAGCCAACTGTTTCCATCTGTCAAGGGTCTCATCACTACTGCAGCTGTTCAGCTTCTGTTTTCCCTCTTTTGTTTCTTTTCTCACATAATTGGACAGTGCAACAACATCTGTTGTCAAAGGAAGCAGCCTTGATGTATTTCTCTTGTTTACTTTTAATGTACGCAGTGCATGTGTGCTTACTTCTGCTTCCCACTTGAGAGTATATGATTTGATGAACTGTTTGCATTTCTTTTCCAAACCAGCATCTGCTTGCAACAGAGCATTTCCCATAAGGACTTTGGCAGCCGTCACCAGTGTATATCCGACTTTCAGTGCCAGGCTAGGTGTTGTGTACAAATGTGTATCCTCATTAAATCCTGCAGCCTTCCTAGTTGCAGCTATGACCTCATTAAATTTGGTAGGACAAATCAAATCTACTAATGAAGCCGATGGGTGATCATTCAATTTTCTGTACTCACGAACCAGTCGTGCAAGTTCACGCAATTTTTGCCGTATATATGAATACTGGTCTTTGTCATGCCCATGCTTCAATGTCAGCCTCTCTGCTACTTGCTGCATTAATCTATCTGATTTCACAACTCTCAATATATCATCATCGACTCCCATTGATAATATCATGTGCACCTTTGGGCTTACTCCTGATGGGCCTGGAAGCATCATTCTACCAGTTTGAACATGTAAGGTTCTTTTTTTCTTCTTGGGTGGTTCACAGGTCTCATCCTCATCCTCAACATCTGGTCGCAATTTACATCTATGAACATGCCTGTACAAATCATCCTTGGAATAGAAAGCATAACAATGACTACATGGCAAATATTCTTCTGGATCCACATCATATTTCGGTCTGTATGCAACAATCAAGGTACCTTTATTTTCTTGAAGGACTTTGACATTGTGACGATAGTTTCCGTAATTTCTCATTTTAGCTAGCAAGTTTGCCTTTTCTTTCATGTCTTTAGTTGCAATCCATTGCTGAACCTCAGTCTCGTTGACATGTTGTGGTGTAAGCAGATGCCTCGGCAGTTTCTTTTGTGGTTGACTACAAAATTTACAGTACTGAGGTTTGTCCCACTTTCTACAGTTGTTGTTTGAAGTGGTCATCACATTAATACTGCAACTGGAGCTTGAGACTTTTGCACTTTGAACACTTGCAGAGGCATGGGCAGGTGAGGTATTAGGTACTGAATGGTCAACAGGCATGGCTTCACTCTCCTTATTATCACTGACAGAAACTGCCACAGAGTTACTTTGACGTCCACGTACAAACCGAAATGGAATGAAATCAGCCTCATCACTGCTACTACCTTCTGGATCAGATTCGGCTTCATAATCACTATCGGAATCATCTCCAGATGGTTCAGATGCGACAGGAGTGTCGTCATCTCCAGATGGTTCAGATGCGACAGGAGTGTCGTCATCTCCAGATGGTTCAGATGCGACAGGAGTGTCGTCATCTCCAGATGGTTCAGATGCGACAGGAGTGTTGTCATCTCCAGATGGTTCAGATGCGACAGGAGTGACGTCATCTCCAGATGGTTCAGATGCGACAGGAGTGTCGCCATCTCCAGATGGTTCAGATGCGATAGGAGTGTCGTCATCTCCAGATGGTTCAGATGCGACAGGAGTGTCGTCATCTCCAGATGGTTCAGATGCGACAGGAGTGTCGTCATCTCCAGATGGTTCAGATGCGACAGGAGTGTCGTCATCTCCAGATGGTTCAGATGCGACAGGAGTGTCGTCATCTCCAGATGGTTCAGATGCGACAGGAGTGTTGTCATCTCCAGATGGTTCAGATGCGACAGGAGTGTTGTCATCTCCAGATGGTTCAGATGCGACAGGAGTGTCGTCATCTCCAGATGGTTCAGATGCGACAGGAGTGTCGTCATCTCCAGATGGTTCAGATGCGACAGGAGTGTTGTCATCTCCAGATGGTTCAGATGCGACAGGAGTGTTGTCATCTCCAGATGGTTCAGATGCGACAGGAGTGTCGTCATCACCGGTCCAGTGAACATTTGAGCCAGATGGTGCAGCATCCAGAACTCCCACCTGAAATTATCGGAAACGGAAACAATTCATGAGTTTAGAAATTAAGAATTAGCCATAATATGCAAAAGTTTTGCATGCATTTCAATTTCGCGAGCAAGACAATTCACAATTTTTTTTAAATGCATTTTCGAACATCAATTGGTAATATTAACAAATCGCTAAATTTGAATGCCACTACAATGGCCAATTGCCACTATCCATGGTGTGTAATTCCAAACTCAATCAAAGACATAAAACTTTGATTCTGTAGTAAGATGAGATTCATTTTTAAACAAGTCAACGCAAAGCGTAGCATCCCTCGCAGGGTACAAATGGCCTATATACGTCAGAACAAGTTACCTCCATTGGACTATATTATTATATTTCTAGGCAAGGATTTTCACATATATAATTACCGGTAGGTGTTTTTGCATATTTAATGAGCTATGACCTTTCACCTTTGACCTACATACTCAGAAATCGAAATTAGGCTGTACATGTATTTTGATACCATGTACCTTCATATCAAATTTCATTAAAATCCGTCAAACATTACTCAAGTTATCGAATGGAAACCAGATTTGCATATTTAATGAGCTATGACCTTTGACCTACATACTCCGAAATCGAACTTAGACTTTGTTTTAATACCATGAACCTTCATATCAAATTTCATTAAAATTCGTCAAACATTACTCAAGTTATCGAATGGAAACCAGATTTGCATATTTAATGAGCTATGACCTTTGACCTAGGTACATACTCCGAAATCGAACTTAGCCTGTATTTTGATATCATGTACCTTCATATCAAATTCCATTAAAATTTGTCAAACATTACTGAAGTTATCGATCGGAAACCAAATTTGTTACGAACGGACGCACGCACGGACGGACGCACGCATGGAAGGAAGGACGGACGGCAGCGTTACTATATCCCCTCCGACTTCGTCGGCGAGGGGATAATAAAAGTTTTATTTTTTTTTAAACCAAAAAGTGCGACAAAAGGCAGATTTTGGCACTTTTGGTCACAATAAAAAAAAAAAAACTTACATAAAAATATCAAGATGAAGAATCTACAAACTAACGGTAGGTAAGAATGACCACAATTTTGACCAAGTTGTGGTAATTCTGACCAATAAATTGCGTAGCTTTCCTGTTAACTATTGAGCAGCACTTTTGGTCAAATTTGAGGTCAGATATGGAACTTATGACTTCTTTCCTTTCCCCAAAAATTGTACTTTCATGATCTTTGCATAATGTTTTGCACACTTTGAACGTTGGCACCCCCCTTTAACATATTTAAACTGATTTTTTGTCGTACAGTGGAATCTCTTTTACACAAAATCGAGCTAAAACATGACATTTATTTTTAACTGTCAAGGTACCTTTATTTACCACTAATCTATGAGACAGGGCATCTAAAGATCTTAAATTGATTTTTAAATTATCAAAATGAGCAGAAATAGAATTTACTTGAGCCCGGGGTCAATTAACGTACTCTCCTATCCCACCTTGGCCTCGCAAGTCGTTTTTGGCTTGCACCTTCTCATTTTTTAACCGATTTTTTAAAGAAAGGTGTCGAAATGCTTGGTATGATATGCCCTCTAAATGAGCAGAAACCTTAAGGATTTTGACCCCCTGTATAGCCACCACTATTATAAAGTGCACCTACTTCTGATATCTGTAATGCACTTGAAGTATCTGCTTGGCCGAAATCGAACTTAGCCTGTATTTTAATATCATGTACCTTGATATCAAATTTCATTAAATTCTGTCAAACATTACTGAAGTTATACAGTAGGCTTGCGGTTGCACCATGTGATTGAAGTTATCGATTGGAAACCAAAATTGTTAATAGGAAGGACGGACGGACAGCAGTTACTATATCCCCTCCGACTTTGTCGGCGAGGGGATAATAAAGCATTACTACAAGATATCAAGAATCCAAGAAATATAATTCAGCATCATACAAAGGTAGGACATGTAAACATGATACAGCTGAACCTCGGAGCGGAACCTCTTTAACACAAAATCAGTAGGACCACAATATTTTGTTTGTGTTATAAGGATTTTGTGTTATCCACTTAAAATTGCATACAAAATACATGGTTCGGCCAGATATTTACTTTGTGCTATCAGGGTTTTTGTGTCAACAGATTTTGTTTTTATAAAAAGGTTTCACAATTCACATTGTACATCGCATTTTCCCCTTTTTCATGACATTTGGGCTTTGATCACATATCTTGCAGGGAGGGTCAGGTGAAAAGTTTATAGATTATTTTTGGCTAATTACGTTGCAAATTCAATAACCAGAACGTCAATGATGTAGCGCTCATCCGCATCTCGCAACAACAAATATCATAAATTTTATGTGGTACACTTTTGAACTGGTCAAAAAATAAAAATTTGATGCCCTGGAAGGGTTTGTGATTTTTAAATTATTTTTGGAATAAATTTGGCAAACCAAATCAAAATCGGTCAAGAAATGAGGGAGAAGAAGCAATTTTTGTTATTTTTGGAATAAATTTGCATAAATTACCATAAATATTAATGGAGAACAATTTCAAAATTCTGTGTAGAAGTTTAGTGTACCAAAGTTAGCTCTACGATATAAAGCAAACCAAATCAAAATCGGTCGAAATATGAAGGAGAAGCAATTTTTGTTATTTTTGGAATAAATTTGCATAAATTACCATAATTAATTAATGGAGAACAATTTCAAAATTCTGTGTATAATTTTAGTGTTCCAAATTTAGCTCTACCAAATAAGGCAAACCAAATCAAAATCGGTCAAGAAATGAGGGAGAAGCAATTTTTGTTATTTTTGGAATAAATTTGCATAAATTACCATAATTAATTAATGGAGAACAATTTCAAAATTCTGTGTAGAAATTTAGTGTACCAAAGTTAGCTCTACCAGATAAAGCAAACCAAATCAAAATCGGTCGAGAAATGAAGGAGAAGAAGCATTTTTTGTGATTTCGAATCAATTTGCATAAATTAGCATAGATAATGAATTTGACGATTCTGTGTCGAATTTTTAAATTCCCGTCCTAGCCCTATCATATGAAACAATCAGAATCAAAATCGGTTGAAAAATAACGAAGAAGAAGCATTTTGAAAACTGTAGACGGACGGACGAACGGACGACGGACGCCACGCCATGGCATAAGCTCATCGGGCCCTTTGGGCCGGATGAGCTAAAACAAGACTTTTAGAGTTATATAGACAATTAGAATTTTGACAATTCTATAGCGACAGAACATCACCATGTTTGAGTTTCTCTTGGACCCGAGAGAAAACACGCTGTAGGATATGGAGCAATGTAATGCACACACTAATGCATAACTGACATTTTGGAAATGAGGTTTTCTTGGGCATATCTACTACATGTATGTCATTAAGAGGTGGTCCAACTCAGGGAATATCCTTAAACATGACATTAATAATAACACTGCCCAATTATTATAAGGACCATTCTAATTAATGGTATAAACCTGTCGCTACGTACAGATGAAGATGAATTAGATGAAGGATAGCCTATGTGTCTAAGTATAAGATACAAATTAGAAAGAAATGGTACATACCGGTACCTGTCGCCATGGCATATCCAGCATCCCATAGTCGTACCTGATTTCTTCTCCAATTTTGATATTGGATAAAGTATACAAGCAGAGATGTATCATTCCTGAGAGAGAGAACTTCTTCATAATGGAGTTGGGTCTTTTGTGGCAGTCGTTGATATATCGAGCAAGGCAGGAGTTAGGGCATGTGGCGTCGATCCTTTTGACCAAAACATAAGGAAAGAAAGTAAATTTTGATAGATTTTCTTAAAATTATTTAAAGGGGTATTCACAGATTCTAACATGCTCTTATTTAGAACATTAATCAGCAGGTAAACACAATGAAACCTTGTTTAATACCAGTTGATTTCGATTTACATGTAGCATTTGTGAGTTAAGTAAACCCAAACTGTGTAAAAACACTGGACCACAGGTTATTATGTTTTACTACTCTTGAATACAAGAAAAACTCATACAAAGTGTTGTTCTGTCAACAAAAAAACAACAAAAATTTTACAAGTCGACCTTAGTATTTCTTGTTATTCAATGTTGTAGTGCACATTACAAAAGGTGTCATTGCTGGTCAATTTGGTCACGCTATCTTGGTTTTGAACCACTGACCGATCGCAACACAAAACCTAGATGGTATACCATAATTCAAACAGTTGCTTGACCCGAAACTTGAACCATTAATTAACCAATGGTTAGTTATATGCACTATGCAAGTGAATTTGTGATGTTCTTCATAATCAATAACAAATTGTGAGGATGTAGAATTCCATTTCACTGGTGATTTCTAACTGCTACTCCTTGCATTGAAAAATAACTTTCAATTATTCAAAAGTGGAGA